CGATATCATCACTAAGATACGCGGGTAACGCATGATGGAATATTTGCGCCCTGTTTTCCTGAACAGGACGTATTGTTGTACAATAGAAATGAATTATATCTTCCGCTGGAACGCGGGCTCTCCTTAGCAGGACTAAAAAAGTATAATCGTTTGTTTGATTTTTTGATGGAATGATTAACGTGCTTATTCCCCTTAGGGTTACGCGAAATAGTCACGCCCAGAATCTTAGCCATCTCTACAGTCTCTAAAGGCTGATGGTTTCTAAAGAAACTGTTTGGGGCTGCGTCAGCGGAAGTAACGAAATAATCTGAATATATCAACAAAGTTGAAATGGTAAATTGGCCACCGTTACGATTATAAAAGCTGACGTTTCGAGCGTTAACCCTTATTCTCTTTGTTGATGACACAAATATATTTTTGTCCCACAAAGATTTTAATTTACTTCGTGAAATTTTGAACTCTGAATTGCTTGGTGAAAGGGAGATGGGTCGTAAATGCTTATTGATGACTTCAACAGGTTTCTGTTCTGGAATGGGTACCACGTCTGCTAGCTTCCAAGATGGAGGGAGTTGTTGCTCAGCAAAGCTACAATTAAGGATCAAAGTAATAGGCTGAGGGATAATGTCAGCGTATTCCTTTAGCACCCAACTAGGTATTCCGTCGGGACCCGCAGCCTTGCGGGGGTTCAAATTTCTGATTGCGGTCAAAACATCGACCTCAGAAATGGTTAGATGGTTAGCACCGCTAAGCTGGCTTCGAAGGGTGGGGTAGTAGCGTGTCGGAGTCGTTTTAATGGTAGGAAAAAAAGGCCAGCCATACAAGAATAGAAAAGAATACAGAAAGAAAACAAGTAAACAACAAAAAAGTATAAGATCAAAGTTCCCAGTTTTAAGACTATTTTTTGGGGCGCAGACGAGCTGTTGAAAATCATAATAAAATGATCTATGCGATTCGTTCTTTAAGTGGTAGTGCAGTGCCAACAGTTAAAAAAACCGGATTGAGGTATCTCACCTTACTGCTCTGATATGTGAAACCTTCTCGAGTTACAAGATCTTTAGGATGCTGGACGTGATTAGAATCACTCAGTTGACAAATAAGGTGGTCTTTTATCGGAGGACCTATGTTGTACGAAACACAGTTGTCGTCCAGGGTGCATCGCCCTCTACAAGAACTATGCATTCCCAATGTTAAAGTAAGGTTCTCAATCACATGACCAACGAGGGCTTTGTTATGAAGTGGCGAGGCAAACTTTAGTCTTCGGCATTGATCTGGGGAAATAAAGGAAAGAGTATTCTTTACCTTCCGTCAGGCTAAACATCCTCTGTTTTATTTGTTTTTAAGTGATTCTCGCCAGTTCTAAAAGTGACACTGTTGTGGATGGGGCAGGAAGCGGGATCTCTCCACAGTCACTCGTTTGTTGTTTATTACCACTTATCATCCGGTACTTAGCAAAGGTTTTTACGTCCACCGAGGACGCAAAATAAAATTTATGAGTGAAAAAATGTTATTTTTTTTTCCTCAGGCTGAAAAGAAAACATCTTCATGCCGGTGAAATTCGGTACGTATTGAAGTCGGTTATGTGATAGGTCATGAGTGAATTTGTGAGTGTCACACGAGCTGCAACAGTCGAAATTCTCCAACGAGTCAGGTTAAAAAATCGTTGCAATCTTGATAGAAACCCGGTCTTTCTAAGCTCATCGAGGAAAGTAAATAAAGAAATGATCTATTCTTGCATCTGAAGAACACGATTGCGAAACATAACTAAATGAGATAATCGTTTGTGGCACTGTCTGACGATTACGTAAACAGGTGTAATCACGCGGGAGGAGGACTGTTGCGAATTGTGTCGTAATTTTCCCTTCCTTTTTTATTTTTAATTGTAATAGTAAAACGAAATTTTACTGAATTTCAGGAGAGCAGACACTCGAAATAGCAAAAGCTTCCGGATCTCTAGGCTTTGCCTTTTCACTCTGTGCAGTTGCCAGAGGGGAAAAAAAAATTGTAAAAATGTAAACCATCCTTTCAACTATGATGATTTTTTCACGAAGAAAGCTAATGTATGAATGCTATTCTGATTGATTCGTTAAATAAATTCTGAAATGGGTATGCAACTAGGTATCTACCGGCATAATCCACAAGATATAATGAGAGAAACAAGGAAAAACTCACTATTCGTTCTCAACAAAGACCAAAATAACCTAGTTGTAAACACATTTCCGTCAGATCAGAAGCGTATCTTGACCGACGAAAGAAATTCTTTCAAATATAGTTGTTATTATTGATTTTCTGTTCTCATAGATTCAGCATGGCTAAAATTATGTACACTTAAACGCCGATAGCCTAAGATGCGTTCTGTGATGAACCTCGTAAATAGCGAGAAAAGAAAAAACACAGCAAGAAAAAACTTGAAAATATAAGAGCGAATGCAGTGCATTTAAGTTCGTTTCTTACCTTGAAGCGTAAAAGTCGTTCTCCAAAAGAGAACGGCTACAAGGAACGTGTACTGCAGGAGTAGGGAACATAATTTCATTCTCGGAGATTTTTTGAAAACTTCCTTTCCAGATGGCCTTTGCGAATTAAAATAACCCTGATGAAACAGTTTTATAAAGGCCCCCCGGTGTAAGACTTATTATAAATAGACTGCCAAGTACCAAACACCTGCTTAGAAGAATGAGAGACAAAACAATATATGCAAACGGTTTATAAAGAAAACTCATGTTTGAGGTTTGGAAAATCCATGAGATGATTTGCAATTAGCTGTAAAAACATGCGGCCTTAAGTTGTCAGTTTAAGATTTTCACGCTTGATACAAAGCCGTGTTGTGAAAAATTTTCTGAACACACAGAAATAGTGTGTATTTTCATCAAAATACTCATTATGCAGATGTCGCTCAACCGACCAGGTCCAAGTGTCTACAATACTGACAACCCTGGGATTGCTAATTAGCCCCCAAGTGAGTATTGGCAAGCTGTAGAGAAGATAGCGTGCCCTGTCGCTGTCCAGATACCGGCTCTCTTGACAAAAAGAAAAAAATAATTAATTGATCAAAAAATTGTGGATGATGAGAATGATAATGGAACGACAAAAATGATTCAATATTAGTGTTTGAAAGCGTGTGCTCCTCATCGCTTTGTTTGTGACTTTCACGTTTTGATCTGGAAAGGTACCAAACACCAGCTTAGAAGAATGAGAGACAAAACAAAATAGGCAAACGGTTTATCAAGAAAACTCATGTTTGAGGTTTGGAAAATCCATAAGATGATTTGCAATTAGCTGCAAAAACATGCGGCCTTAAGTTGTCCGTTTAAGATTTTCACGCTTGATACAAAGCCGTGTTGTGAAAAATTTTCTGAACACA